TGTTGAGGAATGACTTTGAGAAAATTGATTCGTCGTTGTAGTTGTAGTCCTTGTTCATTGTGGAATGGTTGAGTTGTTTCGAATGAAGATGTTGTTGTTGTTGGTGTTGTTGATGTTGTTGTTGCTGCTGTTGCAAATTTTGTTGTTGATGTTGTTGCTGCTGTTGTTGTTGTTGATGATGTTGCTGTTGTTGTTGTTGATGATGTTGCTGTTGTTGTTGATGTTGCTGTTGATAAAGTTGATGTTGTTGTTGTTGATGTTGCAGCTGCTAAAGATGTTGAAGCCAATATTTCTTGTGACAAACCAGCAACCACTCCGTCAGTACAGCCATCTCCACTGTCGTCATCATCATCATTTCCGCCTTCACCACAATGAACATCACCCTTATTATCATCCACCCCACCAGCACCACCATCATCATCCCCGACATCATTACCAAAACTTTGATCATCGTTATCATTACCAGGAGAGGAACTTTTTGTCTTGCCGGGGGGGTAGTAGTAGCTTTGTTTGGTGGGATGGGGGAGAGGTGGATAAGGAGGATAAAATTCATCATCATCATCATCATCTTCTTCTTCTTCATCATCATCATCGTCAGCAACGTCATCACCATCATCTTCATCTTCTTCATCATCATCTGAGTTACTGGCGAGATGGTAGTCTTCGCCGCCGCTGTCCTTATCATCGGCAGCGTTACAGTGGCGACAGTTTGAAGTTTCATCGTCGTCGTCATCATCATCATCATCGTAGTTTTCCTCATCAGCGTCATTTTCTTTCTCCTCATCATCATCCTCATCATCTTCTTCATCGTTTGCATCTTCATCGTCGGGAGCACTGGTTAGACCGGCGACTTCCACTACTTCATTAACTTCATTTCCTAGACCAGCACAGCCACCAGCGACCACCACTTCGCTTCTAGCAGCAGCTCCATCAATACTTCCACAGATATTAACACCCAGACCACTGCGCTTCCTACTAAAACGCCCAGCCCCGTCATCCTGATCGCCCCCATCGCTACCATCCTTACTACTACTGCCACTGCTACCACCATCGGCGTCATACATAATCAGCAGAGAGCTTGAGTAGAACCTAAAGGACTCCTGTCTAGACAGCATTCGCAGCAGACGCTTCAGTCTAGACACCATGGGACGAATCAGATCTGTTCTCAGTCCGGTTCCGTTGTTGAGGAACTGGCGGAGTGTTACCCGGACGCCAGCCAGATCGAGTTTGCGACCGTAGTACTTGCTGTGGCAGATGTACTTGTGCTTCGTTATGTTGTAGACCTGTGTGGTTGTTGTGTGGCTGTTGCGTGGTTGTTGTGTGGCTGTTGTGTGGTTGTTGTGTGGTTGTTGTGTGGCTGTTGTGTGTGTGGTTGTGTGGCTGTTGTGTGGCTGTTGTGTAGTTGTTGTGTGGTTGTTGTGCGGCTGTTGTGTAGTTGTTGTGTGGCTGTTGTGCGGCTGCTGTGTGGCTGTTGTGTGGCTGTTGTGTGTGTGGCTGTTGTGTAGTTGTTGTGAGGTCGTGTTTGTTGTGTAGCAAAAAATTCTTTATTGCCAAAATAAAATGTGTTTACATGCTATATATTTATGAAAAACAACCTCCTAATCCTTCATTTTGATAACAGAAAGTAACAATGCGTGATATAAATTGTTCTCTAGAAATTTGCAATTTTTAGAGAAACAGCTTTGTATGTAAAATTTCGAGGGACATGCACAAAAAATTCGTTATATAGAAATCTTCGTAGTAAAGAAGTTCGTAATAAAGAGGCCCGACTGTATTTTAAGGCGAAAATGAAATTAAAATCCTTCAGAAACTCGTCGTTATCGAGACACCAACTCGAAGGACACACAACTGAATTCAAATTCAGTTAATTGTTATTTTTGGGAAACAAATAAAAGTTCGTTTCGTTTCGTTTCGTCAACATCTTCATCGTCATCAACGTCCTTTGGTTTATACTATAACTACCGTAATAAATTATTATTATCCCACATCCCAACTGCAATCGCAATCAGAATCCCAACTGCAATCCTAACTACAATCTTAACTTCAATCCCAACTGCAATCCCAAGTTCATTCCCAACTGCAATGTTAACTGCAGTCCCAACTGCAATCCCAATCGCAATCCAAACTACAATCCCAACGGAAACTTCAATCCCAGCTGCAATGTTCCACTTCAATTTTGCCTAACTACAATCCCAACTGCGATCCCAACTGCAATCCCAATCAAAATTCCGACCTGCATGCCACAAATCCTCAGTCCCAAATTGCCGGAAGTGGACGTCTGGCACTTCCTCATCTGACTGATCCTCTTCTGGTCGGAGGCATCGTCTCCGTGCTGGCGGGTGCCCATCTTCAAATCGAGGATGCAGGGGTGCTTCATGTTGTACGTTAGGTTCTCCAATAGGATGAATTCTGTGTGTGTGGTGGTGATTGTGGTGGTGGATGTTTTGGTGGTGTTTGCTGGAGCTGTTGCAGTTGTTGGTGGTTGCTGTTGTGGTTGGCGGTAGTGTGGTTGGTGGTTGCTGTTGTGGTTGGTGGTATTGGTGGTTGTTGATGTGGTTGGTGTTTGTAGTGGTGGGTGGTTGTTGTGATGTCCAATGCGATGTCAAGTAATCTGATGGTTATTTTCTCTTTCTTATGCATTTCTCTGATGTAAAAACAACAACCAGACACACACGCACGCACGCACACACAAACACAGAGAGAGAGAGAGAGAAAGAGAAAAAAAGAGAGAGAGCATAACAGCACGTAAAGAGAATCTCAAAAGAACTCGGTCACTTACACAAACACCGACTTTCGCCG